TAAACATTGTCTTCTATTGTTATAAAATTATTTACAATAATTCACATACATTTTAAACACAGTAGTTCTTATCTATTGTCAACAAAACTTTCATTATCTTTTCTCTTGTCAACTGCATTTTCACTGGGTCTTCTGTAGAGCCACACGGTATCAATGCCTTCTCCAAATGTTGCTACTGGCTGCCAGTTGGGTAATGGAAACCGGCAGGCAACCACATATCCGTCAGCAGTCAGCTCTTGGAATAACTTTGTCTCTAAATCTGGCATCTGTAGAGAAAAAACATAAAGGAAATAAGAATCTGTGAGGTAGAAATTGTTCTCAATGAGGAAATGAACAACTTTCTTCCTCTCTGTAATTTCAGAACTGGACTGAATTGTTCAGTGCTCATACCCCTCCTCTGTTTTGGAGACAATTTAATTTTACAGAAAAATAAGACTGATAAATATTTAAACACTGAAAACAGTAAATTGAGACCAAAACCTAACCTAATGGTGCTGGGTATTTACAGTTGTTTACTTTTGCAAATTTTGTTTGCACATAGATAGCTCCACAGGTGCTCAGCCACCAAGGAGACAATTACTATGCCTATTTTTCTAATGCTATCATATTGATGCTGCTACTGTTGTTGACATTATGCTTATCATAATGTTATCTCTAGGTAATCCATAACTCAGTGCAATAACAACATTTTGTTACCTGTCTTTATTTTATTTATTTTACTTTTTTTTTGTAATATTCAATTTTCTGTAATACAACCTGCTCCCCCAGTCACGGCAGCCAGGAATAGGATCCTGACCATGGAAACAGCATCCTCCCCTGAGCCAGTGCTCTTTGAATCTTGGCTTATGGATGGTACATTCTACATTCATTTATCGATGGGAATGTGCAAAAGCCCCTTACTAAATGCCTGCTGAGTCCAATCACCCTCCAAGAACTTTGTGCAGTCATGGCGAGTCATTCCCATCACCATCAGCTGAAATACTCACAACGGCCAGTTTGCATTACCCTGGACCAGCCAAATTTTCCCATGACAACATGTTCACATCATCCACTTCCCAAGTCAAATTTTTTCATGACATGATGATCACTTCATCTAGATCGTTGGGGTTAACAATACTAGTAGCAATATAGTTTTTTAAAAAGTTTGCAAATACCAAGGAAATGGGTGAACATGTGAGCTAGGTAGGATCTTAACCCATTCGTCCCGGATTTATATTCTGTTCTCTGTAGTTTTTGGGGAATTTTGTTACATACAGATGGCTCCACATGTCCTCAACTGGCAAGGAGTCTTTCAGTAGGCCCTAGTTACTGACCCTGATTTTCCCATTCATTTAATTGGCGGGAAAATTAATAGCATTGCTATCGATACTGTTATTATTGTTACTGATGTTGTGATTATTAAATAGCCATTAGAATATTTTAGACAATGAAATGATACAAAAATCCCTTTCCTAAAGTGAAGGAAAAGGGTAAACAGGTGAAATAGGTAGTTCTTGATAACTGGCTATTTGGTGATTAAGAACTTGTGGAGCCATCTATGTGTAAATACAATAAATAAACGTGTCTCAAAGTGGGAATGGCATCTATTCTTGCCAGATGTGGCGAATGGGTTAATTGACTCCTTTGGTGATTAAGCACTTTTGGAGCCCTCTCTGTGTAAAGACAATCAATAAACAAAAAGACGCAGTGGACATTGTATGTACTCTTGTCATCCCATCAAACATTGGATTAAAAGTAATTTAAATCTTTAGAAGGATCTCCAGAAAACCTCATTTTCTTCTTCAGACAAAGTTCAGAATGTGTCCTCTTATGTACAAGAGGATAAATTCTGTGCTAGCAAAACAAGGGCATTCTCAGGAAATTTTGAATGGAATCCATACATGCTGTGAAAGCGGAGGCTGCTCTATATTTTCTGCACTAGATTGATGTGGAGTTTTATGGCTCTGGCACAATCAATTCTTGAACTACATTCTTCCAAATTTAGTCTAAAGCACTAATTAGCATGTCATAATCAAAGACAAGGGGGGAAAAAACCATCATCCCCTGACTTCTAATTTCTATTTTGTTTGGGCAACCTTGATATTAATTCAAGAATGCAGCCTAATTACTACTGAACATAAACATTATCATGAATTTTAAAAATCTGTAAATACGTTCAAGATTTTTGGATATTTAGGTATATGACTTAGGTCTTTAACCAAAGTTGAAGATGAGCAAGCTTAATTTCAATCAATTACTCATCCAGAAGATGAATCATTAAGGCCTTATGATTCCACTGTCACTATTCACCAACATTTCCATCCTTTTCCTCTTACCTGATACCAGGTAGTCTTCACACATCATGGTGACTTCCATGTTTCCTACCAGCATGAAAGGAATATTCCCTTGCTACCATCAAAATTATCATGATATGAATAGTGGTTACAGGTAGCAAGGGATTGTAAAATAAATTAGGAAAACTTACCATTTCCTCAACGCCAAAAATCACAACATTTTTATA